AAAATTAACTTAGAAATAAGTTAATAAATTAGTTTCGACTATATAACCGTTTTTCTTAATCACTAGACCAAAATTATTTGCAATTTAAACTAATTCATTAGTAATAGCCAATTCATTCTGATCCACATAATCATAAATTTATATTGTTATCATCAATTAACACGCTCTCCCAAATAATATTTGGTGACATTATTACGGATACTTGAGTAAGAATTTCCATAAAATTATGAATATTCAAATATGGGGTAGAGATATGATTAGAAACACTACTTGTAGAGAGATAAATTTTAATATGAGCAGATAAAAAACATTGGTTTATCATGTGTATTCATTCATTTTATCAAAGCATCATCTTAATTACTGTATAATATTTTTATCCCAACAGGGATAAACAAATAATCAATTCAATTGTCATTAATTAAATGCACAATGATTTATTTTTAGTAATAAACAAATAATCAATCCAATTGTCAAGTAAATGAGTAATAAATTTCAATTATCAATTGATTAATTAAATGCATGATGCTTTTCTTAAAAGTAAACAAATAATCAATTAGTTAACTGCACAGCACTTTGTTTTTAGTAATAAACAAATAATCAATTCAATTGTCATTTAATTAAATGCACCAAAAATGACAATTCATTCTACAAAAAAGGAAACTAAACTGTAGCTCAAAATTTTTGTAAAACATATGTGACATTTATTGATGATGTGATGATTAAATTTGTGGGCTGGGGGTGGCAAGAATTACAGAGTGTTTACCAACTTTAAGAGTTAATTCTTATTTGTCACATAGGTTCTGTAAATTTCATAAAAAGAACCTTTCTGTATATAATATTACCCATAATATTAATATGGAAAAGTGATTTTCCTGTATTATTATGTATGATGTATATTAATGTTAATATGGTATCAAAATGCAATTTTTTCATATCTATTCATTTCGCATCTATTCAGTACTAGCACATATTCTGTACATAATTGTAATTTTTATAAGGCATAAATTTGTTGAAATGAGTTTGTATTATTCTAATATTATTTGTGTTGTATGTAACCATCAGGAAATTTTTCTGATGCAGATGCAAATAAGCATACAAAAATTATGCAATTATTACATCGAGTGTAAATATTACATAATTTTTATGCAAATATTACAACTCTACATATTAAAATTTATGGATGTAATATTGCGGTGGGGAAAATTTCCTGATGACCTTGACTGAACATTATCAATAAATGAATAATTTACCCTAGCAAAGAAAAAACAACATTTTTATTCTTGTTTCAAAGATTCTTTGAAAAGAAAAGTTTAAATAATTTCTACACAATGAGTCTTAATTTCAAATTCATTAAATCAAGACATTTAATATGGATCCATCAGTGTATAAAATTCGAACAGTTCTTTTGGGGCGTGTAACATTAAACGAAATCTGTGCACCCAAATTTGCACATTTTAATTATTATTAAACGGTTTTCGGCTATTGATAGCTAAAATTTTTTTTCTGTTATAAAAAACTTTTTCTGAAGGTATCACTTCCTAATACGAAAATGATCTTTGAGATTCAGCTGATTGATCTGTGAATAAAAATTCGGTTGTTGTCCTTGTGGTTTTCGTAAAATCATTCTTAAAAGTTGGTCGATTGACTATTTTTACTTTGCAGGTCGTTAAATTGGCCAATAAGAATGCAAGATCGTGATCAAAAAATTATTTTGCGATACTACTAAAGAATACTTTGACCGTTTAAGGGATAGTTTTGCAGTCATCTTCGAATCATATTATTGATGGAGGATTTTTTTGTGATCATTCTATAGGTGGGGCTATTTGATAATCACATAATTGATGTTTTTTGATCATGATTTGCGCATAATTAACGCATAATTTACTTTTATGAATAGGGATTTTGATTGTTGATCATTACTCGTGTTATCAAATGGGGATAAAAGAATTTCATTACTAATGCGAATTTAATTATTCCACGTTGAAAAGAAAGCCTTGCTTTAAAATAAACCTTTTGAAAAGCCACAGAGAACTCATTCTATACAGAAGAATATTTATTAGAAAGCTTTAATGAAGCCCATGGTTGTCATACGGTTTGAGTTTCATATGACTGATATTAATATGGACCAATTTATTACTAGGTATAAAAATAATATTAATATTAATAGGTAAAAGTAATTAGTGACAGTAAAAGAAGGTTTTAAAAATAGAAAATTTTATGGTCAATTTTAATTCAATAAAACATTTACACAGTGAATCGAGAAGGTTTTTGTTGAGGTACCGTCTTTTGAACTTTATCAGTAAAACCGAGATGTTTTAATCAGTATCCGCTAAATCGAGGTCCGTTAAATCGAGATTCACTGTGTATGAATGAATATTTAAATAACGGGTAATTGATTTTTTCTAAAAAAAAATAAAAATAAAATTTATTGTCAACATATATAATTTAAAGAAATTCAATTAATTAATAAATAATATATTTAAAAATGACTAAATTTTTTACACTTGAAGAAATTGTTCAACATAATACAGAGAGCTCTATTTGGATCGTAGTCCATGATAAAGTCTTTGACGTTACGAATTTTCTCAATGAACATCCTGGCGGGGTAAAAGTTTTAATGAAAATGGCTGGTACAGATGCCACAAAACAATTTGATGATTTCCATACCTTGGGCACACTAGAAAAATATTCTTCTAAATTATTTATTGGTAAAATCGGCTCTGGGCAAATTGAAGAAGTAAATCAAGAAGCACCGTCAGGTGAAGGATCATTTGGTGATCTCGTACCGTTTGGTGATCCATATTGGTATCAAGATTTTTATAGTCCGTATTATAATGATTCTCATCGTCGTGTACGAGCTGCTGTGAGAAAATTCGTCGAGGTTGAAATTATGCCTTACGCTCATGAATGGGATGAAGCTAAAAAAATTCCTAAAGAATTATTTGTAAAAGCTGCCAAAGCAGGTATTGTGACTGGTTTTGTAGGAGCTCCATGGCCAAAAGAGTATGTGCTAATATGTATATTTGGTATATAGTAAAATCATTATTTTAAAAGTAAATATGATAAATAAATAGATATTAAAATTTTTCTTTTACATTTATTCCTATATACATATGTAAATAATGATTAGAACAATAAATTCGTGCATGTGCCGCCGCTCGCTCACTGCGACGTTTAACTTAAAATCTTGTTTGTATTACATTCGTATAACGTCGAAATTAGTTAACTTTATTTAGAAATTAGCGTCGCGGTTAGAATGTTACGTCTCAATTAAAGTGCGATATCGCGGTTAAAATACCAGATTCCAATAAAGTTGTTACTAATTACAGAGTTAATTTAATTGTATATAAGAAGCTCAAATTCAACATACTTGTAAAATAACTTTGTAAAAAAGTTTTATAATAAAAATTAACTTGGAAATAAGTTAATAAATTAGTTTCGACTAAATAAAACGTTTTTCTTAATCACTAAACCAAAATTATTCGCTAATAAAACTAATTCGTCAGTAATAGCCAATTCATTCTGATCCACATAATCATAATTTATATCGTTATCATCAATTAACACACTTTCCCAAAAATCTTATGGATGTTCGAATAAGAATTTCCATTCAAATATGGTGTTAGAGATATGAATAGAAGCACTACTTGTAGAGAGTTAAGTTTTAATATGAGCAGATAAAAAACGTTGGTTTATCGTGTGTATTCATTCATTTTATCAAAGCATCATCTTAATTACTGTATAATATTTTTATCCCAACAGGGATAAACAAATAATCAATTCAATTGTCATTAATTAAATGCACAATGATTTATTTTTAGTAATAAACAAATAATCAATCCAATTGTCAAGTAAATGAGTAATAAATTTCAATTATCAATTGATTAATTAAATGCATGATGCTTTTCTTAAAAGTAAACAAATAATCAATTAGTTAACTGCACAGCACTTTGTTTTTAGTAATAAACAAATAATCAATTCAATTGTCATTTAATTAAATGCATGCTTTATTTTTAGTAATAAATCCAAAAAACAGGATAAATGATAATGAGTAAAAATGTTTTTTAGCATGTTTAGCTAATAAACAATAAACAATTCAATTGTCAATTGATTAATAAAATGTTGCTTTTCTTATAAAAAGATGTGATTTTTTCAACCTTTTCAAAAAAAAATTTCTTCAATTTCCTTTGGCAAATCATAACAACCATTATAAGAAATCAAAAGAACATTTTAAACTAAAAAAACAACTTTTTTCTCAAACATTTTTTTTTCATTTTGTCAATTTTGTTTTAGTTCACCATTTCAATGTTAATGCATACAAGCAAACAAAAAGCTCCCAGTGATGACAAAGTAGAGATTCTCACAAAAATATTAATAGAAACAGATATACCATATGCAGAATCTTCTAAAAATGAAAAGCAAACAAGGACACAAACAAAGAACAACAACAAAAAAAAACCAAGTAAATATTTACCATTTATCTTCCTTTATTTTTTTAGGAATAGCACTTAATATATTTTTTTAAATATCTAGAACATCCTTGTTCAACTTGTAAGGGACTGATCATTCATGTTCTTCAAGCAACCAATGTAAATTTCAAAAACATAATGCATCCAAATTTGTTCAAGAAAAAGGCACAAAATACAAATGATGCACAGTAAAAAAACTGGACTTGGAGGATTCCTTAAAGATAAAGATCTTGAGCCTGCAGTCCAAAAGTGCTGTTGAAAGAATGACTCGAATTGTTTTTGAAGGCTCTTGATTGGCTGGCCAAACAGCACTTTATCACGTGACCTTGGTGATCAATTTCCTTTTAACACAAGTGAAGATACTTTCAAGTATATGAGACAATGTTTCCAAGCTGTAACTACATACCAGAATACCCCTGACACCCATCATAAATAATATTCGAAATACCCTCTACACACAATATCAACCTTGCATCAGGAAAACGTGTTTTTTGATACATATATTATATGTATATTATACATGTATTATTTTACATTACAGGTGATCTGCATATATATATGTATAATTTGTGTGTACTTTATGGACATGTGTATTATATGTATATTATATGCAGATCACCTGTAATGTAAAATAATACACATATAATATACATTTAATATGTGTATCAAAAAAAACCCATTTTCCTGATGCTGAGGAATGGATTGACAAATAAAAAATAATTAGGACAACTTCTCTCCTCTGCTGCATCATAAAATCCTGCACACCTTTACCAAGCATAATCAGCAACATGGTCTTTGTCACTTCACACTTCTGCCCGAATACTCTTTCCAACAAAAGTACATATTACTGATGCTTTATATTACATGTACAAATCAGTTGAAAAATTAGGAGTAACAACCATTCAAAGATTTAGAGCTGAAAAGTAAACTTGATGGATGGAAGCATTTAATATTAATAAAGTCATCACCCAAAACCGAATCTTTGCTTACTCCATACAAATTGATGGTCTGCAGAAGAATGTTGATGATGATAAAGAGGATGTTGATGAAGTATCAAATATTGATTTGAATGAATGCAAAGTATTTGGACTGGATCCTGGAAGAACGATTGAATAAAAAAATTGTGAGTTTGTTCCAACAAGGAGTATTGGAACTTAGCAGGGTTTGTTTGTGCTCGTAAAAAATGTGAGTTGTGGTTGGAAAAAAATCAATATCTTCAGGCTATTATTCAAGGCAAGCTATACTTTGTCAATTTAATTTGCTGTTAAACAAGAATATCATTGAATAATATTACATACCTTTCGCCTAATACCAATACAAAACCTAAGATATTCTGATATAATACTTGATTTTTATGGTGAACATTGCTGGTGTCAATTGTGATGGAAATCTTTTATTAATAAGCAGAGGCCTTTGATATTCTGTGCAAGAGAATAACAAATAGTAATGGTGACAATACAGTTGTTGCATTTGGTGATGGTAAATTCTCATCAACATCATGTGGGCATGCTCCAGGCCTCTAAAAGAATTTTACCAAGAGCTTTCTAGACACTGCAAGATGGTGAACATTGATGAGTTCCATACTTCCTCAGTCTGTTCTTTGTGTGATGGGTGGTTTGATAAGCATCAAAAATTTTGGTCTTTCAGAGTCTGCAAATTAGTCTATCTGACACATTGTAATCAAGATGTTAATGCTACCCATAACATAAGGAACATTTTTTTGCACACAACACTTATGGAGAGAGACCTGATTCATTTATAAGGGGGACTTACTGACCTCTCTGCTGTTATTTTAAATGTGACAGGGTATGTCTAGCTGGTGGCAGCAGCAGCAATGATGATTTTCTATGAAGTCACAATTAGTTATAGGGAGGATTTGAATCTTCCTAATTTAGTGTACAATATATTTTTATTTATTTATAAAGACAATTTATTAATGAAAATGAAACAACAATTCATTGAGCACTTACTTATACATTACTAATTTTTCTTATAAAATAAATATTACCATAACAAATAATAAATATAATTAATATAATTAATATCTACAAACAATAAAAATTAAATAAATAAATAATCATTATACCATCAATGACAGTATTATTAATTTTTTTTTTAATAAGATTAACTGGCATAAATATCAATTTTCATCCCCTTTAACACTTCACCAGCTTTTGGATGTCTATTTAAAGCTGCCAATTTCAAATATTTAACTCCTACTACTGGATCTTTTGTAACACCAAGTTTTCCATTAATATACATATCACCCAAATTAAATTGGGCTGTGGGATTTGAATTATCAGCAGCCAATTTAAGATATCGGATAAATTCATCTTTGTTAAACTTGGTTTTATTTTCAACTAATGAGAATGCATATCTTAATTGTGCATCAGGAACACCTTCATCAGCTGCTTCCTTAAACAATTTAGCTGCTGCCATTCTATCTTTGTAACCACCATATCCTTCCCACAAATAATATCCTTTCCAATATTTTGCACCTGAATTTTTAAGTTCAGCATTTGCTTGAAAACATGTCCATGCTGTTTTGTGATCTTTTGCTTTATGAGCTTTAATACCTTCATCAAGAGTCATAATTTGTGTAATTACACTAGCTTGAGATTGTTCGTTGATTTGACTATTATCAACATCTTCATCACTTACAGAAATAGGTTTCTGGCCTTGTTTTAAAGATCCATCAAAATCAATGGTTTTTGATGGGAATAGGCCTGATTCAGTAAGAGAACTAGGGTGTTGTGAATATAAACGGTCTAATTGAAGGAAAATATTCTGAAGTGATGATCTTAATAATGGATCATCTTCCCATGCTTTTTTTTGATTTTTTAAATATTTACAAATCAGATGATATAATAACAATAAGTTACAAAATATTAATTTCAAATAAATAATTTGTTTGTATGTTAAATTATTAATCTTACCTCCTCTTATAATTTTAGCATAATCTTCTTGAAGGCTTTTGGTGTCAGAATCTGTCTCACCAAATCGTATGTTTTCTCTACCACCATCTAATACATATGACCTAACTTTTGACATATCCCATTTTTCATAGGGAACTCTTTCAAAAGCAAGTTCCCAAAGCAACATACCAAAGCTATATAGAAATGGTATAAATCATTAAAATTATTAATCAATAAATTACTGAATTACATAAATATTGATTTTTTTTAAAAAAAAATATACCTGAAAATTTCGCATTTAAAGTTATAAGATTGTCTTGGACCATATCTCAATTTTTCAGGAGCCAGCCAATGAACAATTTCTGTTGTATTTTTCACATCGGAAGTTACACCACTAGTATGACGAGCATAATCAAATTTAGCAATTTTTGATTTACGATTTTTGTCCATCTTTTATTATTATTATTAAAATAAATAATATATAAATAATATATTAATATTAAATAAATAATATATAAATAATATATTAATATTAAATAAATAATATAATAATTACTATTATTATTATTAATTAATAATTAACCAATAATAATATTTAATAATAATATTATTATTTAATAATAATTACCATAATATTATCACAACGAATATCATGATGAAGAATTAAACATGAATGCAAGAATGTAAGGCCACGACAAATTTCAAGAGCTATTTCAACTTTAGCACGCCATCCAATATCAAATTTTTCATAGACTTCTTTTAAGCTGCCCAATTCTGCCCATTCAAGCACCATCACTTGTGCACCATCAACAGTTGAAAGACCATAAAATTTTATTATATTATCTGACTCACGTAGCTTTCCTAAAATAGTAAATAGACCCTGTACTTTTTGATAGTCTTGTGGCTTTTCCTCTTCATTGGGTATTGTGACAGTTTTGCATGCAACATCTATTGGACCCGGTTTTTTCAGAATTTTCTTAATAATATAAGGTGCTTTTCCTCGACGATCAGTTTTTTTTGGATACATAGGATCTTCTAACTCAGTTGGTGATATTTGAGCTGCTTTGATGGGATTGTCATTAGGTTGTGCATTTTTATTATTATCCATTGAATCAATTTGACCTTTTATAATCAAAACTTCTTGAAGTACTGTATTGAGTTGTTTATTATTATCAACAATGTTACCATGAATAGCATCTAAAAACTGGATTATTTTTAATTAAGAAAACTTAAGTGGGAAAA